TCCATGGAGTTTGCCCAAAAACACCTTGTACCCCCAAATCCCTAAACCCAAAGTTTACTCAGAATAAGACAAAAACTCTTAGAAAGCATGGTCAATTAGCTTGAACAGGGGAAATTCCTTACTGATCCACAAAATCAATTAGTCGCTCCCTAGATCAACATTCAACCATGTTTTCTTATATAAATCAATAAATATTTGTATTTTGTGCATTAAGAGGCAATCTCCTTAGTTGGCTGGAACTACCTCCTGTGAAAGACTATTCCATATTTTCACAGCTGTTACGGCAAAGAACATTCGACCGATAGGACAATGTATGTAGTATGTCACAGAAAAGGACGCAGTGTTATTGTAATGGTCTTATACTATTTGAATATTTTACAAAGTATGGCTAGTTGAATATTTTAATGAAGTTTAAGAAGTGTTGAGAGAGACCTATTGCTTGTGTTAATACCTTGAAGTGTTAAGGAGTTAAATCTTAAAAAACATTCAAGCACTTTAACTATTAACACAAATGTATCTTATTTGTGTATCACTCGGCTGTAGATCCTCAAATCATCTCTGAATTGGTGCTGACACTATCCTTCCTTCTGGAGGGAGGCTACTTTTGTTCCCCATGGTCCCTGTATGTGTTGTAAAGTAGCCACTGCTCCAAGATCACTCCTGTGATGGACTACAATCTCAATACAAATAAGTAAACTAAACAGGGGATTGTAGTCCTTCACAGGAGCGAGCTTGGAGTGGTGGCTACTTTTAAACACACACAGTGACCATGGGGAAGAAAAGTAGCCTCCCTCCAGAAGGAAGGACAGTGTCAGCACCAATTCAGAGATGATTGGAGGATCTACAGCTGAGTGATACACAAGCTACATTTTTGTTAATATTTAAGTGACTTGAATGGATTTTAAGATTTCAATTTTGAGTTTAGTGTCACTTTAAAGTCAGTGCCATCAAACATGTTTGAAGATAAGTTGTTCTGACTTTTGCTGATCTTCATACATGTTTCAGCTTACATGCTAAGAAAGTATAAAAGCCAAGATGTCAGCAAAACAACCAGTCAAATAGCATTTTCAGGGGTTTTCCTGCATACATAAAATGTAATAATGGCAGAATTCGCAAGTTAAAGCCCTACTTTTCTGCATTGTGTACGTCACAAGTCTGATTTATTTTATATGTAGTAGTATATCACTATAACTCTTTGATCACTATAAGGGAAGATGCTATAATTTTTACTGCTGTCCTTCTAAGACAAAGTAATTAATTAGTGAAAGTATCTCAGCTCATCAACACAGCATTTCCAAAGGTGCAAAGTGAATACCGCTGAGTGATGCAGCCTATCTAATAGTCTCTCTGCTGCTGTTATGCCAACGCAATAACAGAGCAGTAGGAAGGAGGTAAATACTGTTTTGTTATCTTCCCTATGCAGGTTCTTGCGGCAAACCTACACTCAAGATTGCGGTCAAAGCAAAATACAAGAGCTGGCTGGCTTCATGGACGTTATTCGCTCACAGTTCTATAATATTTTACACGTACCTATTGTTTATTTCTGAGAGTATATTTTGCTATTTTCAGCAGAACTTAACATTATGATAATAATAATTTCATATTATAGCCCATAATGACAACGATTGACATCTAAAATGGACACAAAACATAAGCCCGTTACTTTTTGAAAAACAGCTCCATGGAAAAAATGTATAGACATGCACAGGTTTGTTTTTGTGTGAGGTCAAACATTTTCAGGTTGTCAGAGCTGAATAGGACTAGACCAGGAAAATATCTCAGCTCCATAATACAATTCATTTTTTGCTTATTATGCTCCTAAACCTTGCGGTAGGTATGGTATAGCGGAGGCAACGGTCACATACAGATGAACATCTATTTGATAAGGCAGCAATCAGCGTGCAAAGTGTTGCAATCAATCTCAACATGTATATAAAGAATCCTGATTAGTCTGTGTTTTGATGATTGCAGAGGCGTAACTAGAAACCTCAGGGCCCAGGTACAAGAAACTTTTAAGAACCCCCCCACCACCAAAAAAAACATGATGTTGATACCTTTTTTTAATATATATTGAATAAACAGTATGTTATGACTTTCAGGGCTAGTTCACACATGTTCGCATCCCGGCCGGCTCACTGCGTTCTGGGGTGGGAGGGGGTGTGGCTTGGTGGTGCATTAAAGTCAATGAGCTGTCACTCACGCAGCTGGGCGGATCCCGGCATAATTGTGGGGATCCGCTTCAGCTGCGGTGTCTCAGTATACCGCGAGCTGTAGCTTGCGGTATACTGAGCTTAGGGTGACGGGAGGAAGCTAGTTTGTGTCCTCCCGTTACCCTAAGGAGAACTATGGGGAAAAGCCTTAACCCCATAGTTCTCCTTTAAGCATCTAGAACCATAAACAAAGCATCCAGCATGACAGATTTTGCAAACAGATCTCTGCATAAAAAACGCAAGTGGCAAGTGTGAATTACACCTTAAAGTGGTTGTTTACTAAAGATAATAATTCAGTATTACTAAAATGATAACCGAATAGAACATCTACTATTTACAACTGCCTGTGTCAGCACATCTGGAGGCTGCTTTTTCTTTTACAGCAACGTAATTTTAATGCTGCAGTCTATGAAAAATACCTCTACTGTCTGCGATAAAGAAATAGATGTGTCAGGTTAAAGAGGGATGAAGCTGAGTCAGAGTCTAAGGGGGATATTCACAAAGCTGCCGAAGGCAGTCGAGTGAATAACCCAGCCAAAGTGAAGTGAGCCGAACGCTGTTCGGCTATTCACTTCAGTCTTGTATGGCTGATTTGTTCGGCTGAGCCAAAGTGCAGAAGGAGTCCAACATCTGGATCGGCTGAGCCAAAGCTTTGGCAGCTCACTCGCTGCCATTCACCCCTATTCTCATGGCGTGAGTGGCATTCGGCTCCGCTATTCTGCTCACTACCTCCGAGGTAGTGAGCAGAATAGAACAAAATGTAAATAAATGAAAAAAAAAAAGTTTAAAAAGTATTTAAAACAATGTAAAAAAATTAAATTAAGAAAATCAAAACAAAAAATGAAAGAAAAGAAAAATAATTAACTTTTAAAAAAACGACGCACGCTGACCCGACCGCACGTGACGAACTCACGCCGCATAATGTCAAACCCTGACAGATGCCGGCAAAATATAAACAATTGGGCGGAGCTGGTGATGACATTGCCACTAGCTCCGCCCAACTGTTTCCTATTGGCCGCCACCTGGCAGAGTTTTCTTGCAGGTCCAGGGCAATATATAACAACTGGGCGGAGTCGGCCATGATGTTTTCCTCTGCATATAGAGGACAAAAACACAAGTTGCAAGTGTAGGAGCCTGCTGGTGTGTATGTGCTCGATAGAGTTGCATTGCACTGTCTCTTTCTTTTTTTGTTAGAACTTTATTGAAATGTCACAGTTAACATTGCATTAAGTTCTATGGGCACACCATGGTGCAATGCGGTTGTACCGCTTCTCACTTCGGTGCACTTATAAAAAGTACTGCATGCCGCACTTTTTTTAAGCACACACCAGCACAATATGGTGATGTGAACTGTGCTGACCCGTGAAAAAGCAAATTGCCTTGTGTTGCATTTGAGCTGCATGGGAAAAATTGGCCACCACAGCCCGCACACATATGGTGTGAATGGGCCCCGAATGTGCCTGAGCCTGAATAAAAATAAGGGACTATTGAAAATGTGTGCCATCAGATGGATTTGTTCCACTCAGTGCGATGTTCTGATTGAGATTTCCAAACGGGGGTAAGAGGGTAGGAGGTTGGGGAGGAAGGCAGACATTATATATAGATGGGGTGACCAGTTGAGAGACAACATTGAGCGAAAAAAATGCAGGAGCTATTTTCAGGTGGATGTCGCACAGTTTTGGTCCTATAGACATCTCTCTGCTGAGAGAACCACGCCTTTTTAAAAGCAAAAAACACGCAGACAGAAATAGTACGATAAACATGCAAAAATGCGTGAAACTGAAAACGCCTAGGTGGGAACCAGGCCTTAGAAATAAGGGCTAGTTCACACCAGATGGAATTGTGATAAAGTCCATTCAGTTTGGCAGCTGCATCAAAATCGCGTCACAATGCATTTCTTTCGATGCAGTCACAAAAAATACCGCTGGTCTCATTTTAGCTGCACCGGATCGCAACATAATGCATCAAAAACGCATACGCGTGCACTGGAATGTCCAGGACTGCATCTGAAAGCCCATTTTAAGCTTTAAAAAAAGCATTAGACTGCAGCTGCACAGACGCACGCAGTTATGGTGTGAACTAGACCTAAAACAAGTAAAACCAGCACTCAAAGGAAGGGGGGGTTGCTACCAGGCTCACACTCTAGGACTGTTTCTCTGCAAGAAGGTCATTCAGTTAAATATTGATAACCAGTGTTCTCTTGGAGAGGAGAGTTAGCTGTGCATATACAAAATTCCTGTGTCAGCTGGAAATATTTTATCACAAAACCTTTTGGATGTCCCTGTCTTGTTGCTTCAAGCTACTTGTATTGAACACAGTAAAGAGATTGCAAATACTTGTTCTAGAATGAATTACATTTAATTAGATGAGCAACTCTTTTTCTACAGCATAAGTCTGAGATGGTATTACTGCCATAGCAGTCCACAGGTCTTTTATGGGTTTAGGGAAAGAAAGTCTCCCCTTCCCTTTTTATCAAGCACAAGGAAGAGGACTGATTGTAAGCAGGTTTTTTTTTGCTATAAGATTTTGGATATAATATTGTATTGAGATTGTAGTCCATCATGGGAGCGAGCGAGTGGTGACTACTTTACAACAGACACAGGGACCATGGGGAACAAAAGTAGCCACCCTCCAGAGGGAAGGACAGTGTCAGCACCAATTCAGAGATGATTTGAGGATCTACAGACAGAGTGATACACAAATAAGGTACTTAAATGCATTTTTAAGATTCAACTCCTGAGTTATTGTCACTTTGAAAAGTTCCTACAAGCAAAGAAGATCAAGTCTTACCTTTAGTAATTTAATTTCTCTCATTGCTATTTTCTTAACCATTTTGTCATCTTCACTTTCCAGGAACTTCTTGATAGCGACAATCCTGCCAGTTTCCTTGTGCCGGCACTTCATCACCATACCATAGGAGCCTTCTCCAACAAGACCCAGGTTTTCATACTTCTCCATCTTGTTAGTCTATGTAGCAGCAGTAGCACAGCAGCAGCAGCAACAGCAGACCTCACTGTTCCAAGGAACCTCTATTTCATATGACCTGTGGGTGTCACATTAATAAACAGCATTGATCAATGTACCTTGTAAAACCTCAAAGCATACATAAATCTATCATTGCTGCTGGTGGTCTAGAGTCTAAAGAAAGTCTCTAAAGTTTTATGTGACATGTTTACAGCTTGTCAAGTTTAATTTGTGTGCTTTAATAAACTAACGTTTACCTAAGTGAGAATTTCCTGAAGCACAATAAAATCACTGCAGAAAACCCTTTCAGTTTTCAGATTAGCATTTTAAGTAATTTGGAAAACAAAAAAATGTAACTTATTTTACATTCAAAGTTATTTGAAAAAAAACAAAACAAAGACAGTCCAACCCCAGTCACTATAGGTCTTCACTGCAACAAACTGTATGCAGTTGGCAGTTAAGTGTGCCTGTGCTTAAAATGCCAAATCATACATTTATTTCCACATTTAATTTCATTTAGTTGTAGCCTGCTCCTATTATTCAGAAGGATCTTGAATTTTGTAAACTTACTTTATAAAAAATCCCACAAGATTTATTTCCTTTGTTGTGTTTGTCACCCATTAGACAGAGCCTGCCTTCTGAATTACAGAGGTGCTGAAGGGGAGGCACGGTCAGTACAGGAAATGCCCCACATGTGACATTGTCACTGCTTGCAGGCAACAGTGTAATAGGGTTATGTAGTTCTTATCCTGGAATTTGTTGAAAGATATGTTTGGCAGATAGGCCACTCTCAGCACATACAAATAAATATTTTAAAGCTTGACTCTGGGATTAGCAAACGTCTAAATATAAGTGGCACGTGTATTCCTACTTGAATCTTAGTGTACTTTGTGTATTTGTTCCCAATCTTTACAGTAATCCAGCATGACACTTTGCCTTTGTTCAGGAGCTTCCTGTCATAAAGACCAGTCACTGCTGCTCTCTTTTCTTGTGCACGGTGACTGGTCTTGTCTCTGCCCCCTCCTGTAGTTTTCTACAGGCAGCTTACAGTGGGTTGATGCTCATCTCTGCTCTCTGCACAGGCTATAGGTGACTCCAACATTTACAAGGCAAGATCTGTGCTTGGAAATGCATTTGGTACACACAAAATGGATTTACATCCCCTGTGGCTATTAAGGAATATATTTTTGAATCAAAGTTTTTGTGCCTGAAGTTCAGCTTTACGTATGTTTATTTTGGATTGACTAAAATAACTGACATTTGCCGTATGTCAATATTATGGTATTGTATTGCTATTAAACCGCTGGTGTCTTAAAAGGAAAGCATAAACTATGGCTTCAGATCTTCTTTATAAGTAGCTCTCCCAGCAGTAATATTTGAGGATGCCAGGCTGGTTAGGTGTTGGTACAGTTTTTTAAAACCATCATGCATTTCAACTCAGTAGTATAGCAAGTTGAAACTCCATCCAATCCACGCTCAAAACCAACTGAGATCTCTGGTCTTAAGCAGAACCCATCAAGGACTACAGCCAGCAATGCTGCATTCAGTGTATTCAGTTAAATGTGGTAATGTGGGCTGCACTGCGCTGTTTCTCGAAAAATTAGCTTTCTCTAAATAAAATCAAGAGAAGTGCACCCAAAGTAATGCAGACACAACAAAATGGCAAATCAAGTAAATAAATGAAACCCTATGTCTGTAAAGCATTTATCATTACATCCTCAGTCATATTTGACAAGATTTGTAAAAGGAAATACTTAAGGTTCATTGTCTGAGCAGATTTTGGTGCAGACTCAACATTGGCCCCCTACACTACAGATTTTGGTTCAGGTTGGTGCTCTTGAGTAGAGCCACCTCTACTATATGCAGACAATGTAGTGTAGTACAGCCGTTCTCAAAAAGGGTGCCCTGGCACACTGAGGTGCCTTCTGCCTTCCTCAGGGGTGCCTCCAAATGTTTGCATAATGTTATGCCATTCCATGGTGCAGGCAGGCTTCTGATGTTAACGTGCTTTTGATGGGAATGGGGAACTTTGATATGAAAGGGGGGGCTCTTGATGTGAAGGTGGGCTTGTGATCTGAAGGAGGGCTCCTAGTGTGAGAAGGGGAATCTGATTTGAAAGGGGGGTGGCATGATGTGATGGGGCTTATAATGTAAAGGGGCACACTTGATATAAAGGTGGACTCTGATGTGAATCGTGGGGTTCTGATGTGAAGGGGGCTCTGACGTAAAGGAGGACTCCTGATTTTAAAGGGAACTCTGATGTGAAGGGGTTTTTTTGCAAGGGGTCCCTCCCCCGTTAAAATTCATACCAGTCCCCTAACTCGAATAAGGGTCTGGTATGGATTTTGGAGGGGACCACACGTTTTTTTACATTTACCTTTCTTTAAATTCTAGACTGGGGTGCCTTGAGATTTTGCACACTTTTAAAGGGTGCAGTAACTGAAAAAAGGTTGGGAAATGCTGGTGTAGTAAATGTCAGTGTTAAACTGGCCCTGTATTTATAAATTGGTCTGCTTGTGAACTCAGGCAGGCGAAGCTTGCACAGTCTGCAGAAAAATAGCATGCGGTTTATATGAAAGCACCTGCATCCTCAGACACTGCTAAAAGCTTTCCATGGACTCTCAGCAGTACAATATGTAGTTGTTATCACTGTGGGCGAGTATCTCAAGATAAACGCCGACATCTGCAAAATATTTCCACATATTTCTAAAGTGCGTACTGGTAACTCAAGCCCTGTGTCTGAACAGTAAATTGTACCTTAAAGGAATTGCACATTTTTTACCATGAA